TTAGTTAGCTAGAAAGTTAGTCGGGTAATTTTAGTTAACCAGAAAGTTAGTGGGGTAATTTTAGTTAAATAAAAAGTTAGTCGGGTAATTTTAGTTAACTAGAAAGTTAGTCGCGTAATTTTAGTTAACTAAAAAGTTAGTCGAGTAATTTTAGTTAACTAAAAAGTTAGTCGGGTAATTTTAGTTAACTAAAAAGTTAGTCGACTAATTTTAGTTAACTAATAAGTTAACTAAAATTTTCGACTAATTTTAGTTAACTAAAATTAGTCGACTATATATATATATATATATATATATATATATATATATATATATATATATATATATATATATATATTTATATATATATATATATATATATATATATATATATATATACATATATATATATATATATATATATATGTATATATAAATATATATATATATATAAATATATATATATATATATATATATAAATATATATATATATATATATAAATATATATATATATATATATATATATATATATATATATATATATATATATATATATATATATATATATTTATGTATAAGTATATATATATATATATATATATGTATATATATGTATATATATAAGTAGTAGTAACCATGAAAATTTGCGAATATAATAACTTTGAAATACTAATAAATGTTTTATGAATTTAATACTTGAATTTAATACTTGGTATGGTGTCCTTGAGCTTTCAAACAATTAGCTAGCCGGGTAGGCATAGAGTGAACGAGTTTTCTCAAATATTCAGGAGTCATTAATTAAGTCCATACCTGTCTAATTTTTTCTTGTAGATCATCGGAAGATGATGGTCTAAGTTTCTGGACTTCGTTTTTAAGATGATTCCAGTTTTCAATGGGATTGAGGTCCGGTGAATTACCAGGCCAGGGGCCAATGACTTCAACTCCATTCTAAAGTAACCAACTGCTTACAAGCTTGGCCCTGTGATAGGGTGCTTCGTCATGCTGAAACTTGTGGGTATTTGTGATGTTCATAAATATTTAAAGTTTTTTTTGAAGTATTTCAAGATAAATATGGCCATTTATTGTGGTGTTAGGAGGCATAAACGATAAACCACCACTTTGATTGGCTGTAATGGCACCCCATATCATGATTTTAGGGCAACATTTTACAGTTAAAAGCAAATATTTGGGGTTGTATCGTTGGCAAGGCGGGCGTCTAACGCTTGTAGAACGACAACCAAATTGTTCGATTAATGATTCGTCGCTAAATATTACATCCTCCCAATCTTCCGCTGACCAGTCCTTGTATTTCTGACAGAAGGCAATGCGATCTCTAATATTTTTTGGAGAAAGGCAAGGTTTTTTTGATGGAACATGGCTCGTTAAATGAAATTGTTTGCACAAACGTCTTCTAATGGTCACAACACCTGGTGCAACACCAGTGGGGAATACCTCAGATGAAATTTCAGAAGCACTTGCAAACGGATATGCTTTTGCATAACAATGGATGCGATTATCTGCCCTTTGAGTAGTCACCTTTGGTCGTCCAGCTCTAGCTTTACTTTTAAAATTATCAGTGTCATGATATCGCTTCAATGTTTTTATGATACAGCTATGGGTTACATTAAAACGTGAAGCAATAGAAGTCAGTGTCAATCCTTGTTCACGTAGAATAACAATCTGAGCACGTTTTTCGGTTGTTAATTTATTAGTTCTTCCCATAATTATTATTTTAATTTTTTTTCTAAAATAACAACTAACTATGACTAAAACAAATTTAGTGGCTTATAACATAAATTGCGCATGTATATAATACTAATACTCAAAATTTTCAATTAAAAAAAAAGGTTTTTAACAAGTATTTCAAATTTTCTGCAAATTTTTAAAATGTTCCAAACTTTTGATCGCGACTGTACATATATATATATTGCATATATACATGCATATATATATATATATATATATATATATATATATATATATATATATATATATATATATATATATATATATATATATATATATATATATATATATATATATATATATATATATATATATATATACAAACTAGTATTGTCAAATATACTAACATACATAGTAAAATAATTTAATCAAACTCTAAAAAAAAACTTACTTAAAAAACTGAAAAAATAATTCAAGTAATCTCTACTTGTAATCCACACTCATGAAATAATTCGGTCATAAAGAAATATCCATTTAATATATACCTAACTAACTGCATCACAAGTTAAGCGATGTATTATTGTTAAATTGTCAAATTCAAAACCTTATAAAAAGGCAACAGATGGCCTAATTTTTTAGTATGTGTGACTTTACTTGTTTTTATTGGGCTAATAAGTAACTTGTTAAGTCTTTTCTTGTTATTTGTTATGCTAGAGAGTGTTCATGTTCCGAGATGAGATCATCCATTTAAGGTAATGAAGTTACGTAAGAAATTCGTTTTGCGAGATATCATGCGAGTTGTCGACAAAGATTCTTAAATGTAATGTAATTTACCTAATATTTATTTATCTAATTCTGGTAAAACCTATTGTATATAGCCTATTGTATAGAAGATATACTTTTGATCAGCATTACAAGTAAAGTATTGTTTTTTTAGACATTTGATATTCGAAAATTAATGATATCGTACTTTCCGCATTACTTTTCCAAACTACTCTGTGCCTCTTGAAGAGGTAGTGGTTGGTTTTAAAAAATAAAGAAAAGTAAGTAGAGGCTCTTGCATGCAAGGCGTACATGTAACATTGTAAACCTATAAAGTTTTAGTATATTTTTGGTATCCTAACAATGTCAACTATTTTTAATATATTTAAATACTTGTATGTTCATTATTACAATAAACTTTATTGCTATTATAAATATTTAAATATATTGATAATAGTTGATATTGTTAGGATAGTGAAAATCAGTTATAATTACATAGATAAACAATTTTTATAAGTTTTCCTAACATTAAATCACAAAATTAACTCAAGTTCTCATAATACCCATGAAATTATAATTGTAATTTTTGATATTTTAATAATATCAACTTATATAATGTATTTAGTTTTTAAAAAATGATTTTTAAAATTGTTTTAATAATTTATACTAATTCTATATTTAATTTTTTTACTTTTTTTTTTAGTTTGACACTAAAAAGATCTTTAATTATTTTCTACTAACAATTCATATCCTTAACAATGGATCTCAATAATCCAATTAATATATTTGCCGTTCAAGATAATAGTAGTATAGTAAGCAAGACTATAATTGATCATGTGGTATTATTTTTTAATCATGTTGATAAAATTTATTAATAATACATTTATTATTTAGTTATTTCATTATTATTCATTATTATTGATATCATATAATAATTCAAGAAGATATTATATAGTTGTTATTAATTATAATATAATTATTATCATTTAATGTTAGCTCCTTAAAATTCGTGTATTTTATGTGTTAATTTTCTAATTTATGCCAGTTATATGAAGAAATATAATGTTCAATTTTATTTGTTCCATAATTTTATCTTGGTTTTTGAGACAGATGATATATAATTTTGATAATTAAAACTTCAATAAATTGATAAATAAATTGCATCAGTATTATATTCAGATTCCATTGGAGAAGAATATAGTGTGGATTTTAATGTAGAAAAAGATGAAGACAAAAAAGGTAAAACTTATGCATATTATCATGCATTCTGTACATATATATCTATATCTATATCTATATCTATATATATATACATATATATATATATATATATATATATATATATATATATATATATATATATATATATATATATATATATATATATATATATATATATATATATATATATATACTATATATATATATATATATATATATATATATATATATATATATATATATATATATATATATGTATATATATATAGATATAGATATAGATATAGATATATAGATATAGATATAGATATATAGATATAAATATATAGATACAGATATATAGATATAGATATAGATATATAGATATAGGTATATAGATATATAGATATATTGCGCTTGATCCAATACATCCAAGGTGCCTGTTAAGAAATAACTTGTTCTTAACAGACACCTTGATTTTGGACTACTTTACCACCTTTGTATTTACTTTATTGTTTACAAACCAGAAAAACAGAAAATTATATAGTAAAGTTTACACAATAGGTGATATATATATATATATATATATATATATATATATATATATATATATATATATATATATATATATATATATATATATATATATATATATACATATATATATGCGGTAGTGGTATAGTGGTATATATTTGGAACTTTTTGGAACTTTTTATATATACCACTATACCACTACCGCATATATATATGCGGTAGTGGTATAGTGGTATATATTTGGAACTATTTGGAACTTTTTGCTTATGAGTGCTCGCCTCATAAGCAAAAAGTTCCAAGTTCAATCCCTAACCTGTCCCTGGTAGTTAATTGGCAACATCATTTTTCCTAATGCCGAGGGTTGATATATTAGGGCGTGATATGGGCCAACCTATTTTCTAAAAAATATCTTTTCATATTCTTTAAATTTTTTATTGGTTCTGATAAGCAACTTTGTTAAACTTGTTCAAAATTTAATTGGATTTAGGGGGAGCACCAGATCCATGAACGCTTACCAGGTCCCTAATATTATATAAAAAAAGTTTTTCAAAAGTATGTCACGGTATGAATGTGGATGTCACACCCTAATATATATATATATATATATATATATATATATATATATATATATATATATATATATATATATATATATATATATATATATATATATATATATATATATATATATATATATATATATACATATATATATTTGGGTGGTCGTAAAAACAACTTTTTGTGCTAACGTCCCCTAAATGTATTCTTAATTATAAAACAAAACTGGATTTAAAGGTTTTATTTAGTAATGAAAGCAATGAAGAATTTAAGTAAATGTGGTAGCAGCATTGCAGTTGAAAATGCTTTGGTACACAATATCATTATGGTTTCTCCGATTCTTCAGGTAGAAGAATCTTTACTATCTCTTGGTAGTGATGGCAATGTCGATGGAGTTTTCTACTGCCTTTTAATTAAAGTTAATGCTTTAGGAAAAGAAACTTATTTGGCTAGGTATTTTTTTGAATTTACTTTTAGCAAGTATTTTCTTTCCCTTAAAAAACATGGCATTCTTTTTCTCCTAAACAATGGTCACTTTAAAACATTTTTTCTGTAGATTCATTTCAAAAAAAAATTTTTAGAAAATGTTTATTGCTGGCTCTTATTACTTTTTTTAATTTTCTAGTTCTTTGTTCTAATTTCAATTTTCTTTTCCAATCTCACATTGTTTTATACTTTTTTCATTTTTTTTGATCATTAGATATTTTGAGTTTGGCTGTTTTATTGCATACTTTGATAATATTGCACATGGAAAGCTGAAAAAAGATTTAATGGTTGATGAAATTCTTCCATATTGTGTATTTACAATAAAGGATGTTGATATGGAACTTGCATTAAAAAAAGAAACTTTTGGACACAGAACTAAGAGTGGTATTTGATTAAGGATTGTCCATAAATTATGCAACGCAAAATATATTTAAATAACAAAAGTAGTAGATATTAAGCTTTTTTACAATTTTCATTTAAGTTATTGGGGTATTTTGATTTTATTTAAATTAAGACTCTGCGAGGGAAAACTTTTGATCTTTTTTGTTTTGTTCATTGTGAAAGTTTGCGTTACATAATTTATGGACGATCCCTTACGGATTTTTTGTCAGAATGCAAATTTCTTTTTGCCTTAAAAAAAAATTAATACACAATAATTATATATGTATATGTATATATATATATATATATATATATATATATATATATATATATATATATATATATATATATATATATATATATATATATATATATATATATATATGTGTGTGTGTGTGTGTGTGTGTGTTGTGTGTGTGTGTGTGTGTGTGTGTGTGTGTGTGTGTGTGTGTGTGTGTGTGTGTGTGTGTGTGTGTGTGTGTATACACACACATAATTTATCTAAAAACCTAGTTTTTGTATTTACTTAAAATTAAAAAGACAATGTTTTGTTAGGTTTTTTTATAGGTAGCAAAAGTGGTATTCACAAAAGCAGAACTTTTAATCGTTTGATATATGAGTGCAAAGGAGGCCTAAATAAGAGTTTGAAAAAACTAATAATTGAGCTTGATAAAAACAATTTTTGCGTTTGCTACCATCTAATTGCTGCGTGTCTTCTTAAAGACCAATTGTGGGAGGGTGTTAATCAAGGAAACAAAAAGTATGATACTGGATTTTCTGTATTTTCTTTCTAATTTGATATAATTACATTAAATATATGCAGCAATACATAATTATAGTATATAATATTTAATAGTATATTTCCTAACAAGACTAAGTAAGGCTTAAGATCTATGCTTAATACTTACTTAAACTCTCAACATCTATAATTCAAACTTTACATAAGAAATAATATTTAACATTAATGATTTTCTTTATATACAAACTTTTCTGAATTGATTGGTTTATTTATCTATCAACTAATTTTATTAGGTATTTCATTTGCCAACCTTCAGAAAAAGCAGAAGAATGGGAGACTTCGCTTATGCTTCACCGAAGTAACCCCCAGGGAGCTTCAAGGTATGGAAAACTTTGGACTTCTTTAATAGAAAACCCATCAATAGAAGACCAATTCAGAATTCTGTCAGATCTTCCTAACCATCATAAATGGATGTGGGATAAACTTGTTAAAGGTGTAAAATATGAACAGAAGTTTTCAAATTCATGCAGATATTTTCCTGGTTCACCCAGAAACAGAATTCTTCAAGCCTCTTTTTATCGAGTTACCTCTGATAACATTATTGTATCCATTTTAAGAAATGTTTTTGGTGTTAAAGAGACAGTTGTATATCCATCTAGAAAAGAAATTTTATCTCTAATAGTGTCAAAAGCAAAAAAGAGTAGGATATCTAAAGAAAGTTTTCTTGACCAAGTTAGTATTTAAGAAAAAAGGTTTATTATAATTTTTATTATTTGTTAATTTCTTTATCGATTTGTTGTAGGAGTTTCAATATAATGATTTGCATTGTGGAAAAAAAGTAGTTACAAACAATATTGGCATCACAGATTCTATTAATGAGGTAATTTGAATAGCAATTAAATAGAATCAAGAAAAGATACGTTAAAAGTTTTTTTTAAATCTACTTTTTTCTTTACTTTTTATATTTTTTCAAATATTTTATTCCAAATAATTTGCAGAAAACAACATTTTTTGTTTCAGGTTAACTTGGTTCAGCATTTAAGTAAAAGAAACAGTCTCTATGAATACTTTTGTGCTGAACTTTTTAGTCATGGCGTTCTTTGTTGGCGTGTTCGAAAACCGTCTCTTAGTATATGTGTTATGAACAATTACAATCACGAGAACGGGAACTTTCAAGTAGGTTTAAATTTTGTTTTTTATGCAAATAGATTTATAAACAGTATATAAATATAGTAGTAATATGTAATTGTAATATATAAGTAATACGTTTAATGTTATAATAATTTAAAAATTTATTTCTAAATAAGGATAAAGAATTTGTTCATGTAAAAGCTGAAACAATGTGTTCTACTGCAATATACAACTGCTCCTGTAAAACATTCTCATCATGTGTTTTTTTTCAATCAGAAAATTTGACAAATGTAAATAATTGTTGTCATTGTCGTCTGTTAAACCAGCTAATGCAAATGCTTGATAATCCTGATTTCATCCCAGAAAATAGTTTATTAAACAAAAAAAAACTTATGGATAGTTTAATCTATCTCAAATCAAATGTTTTTAAGTTAACTTCAAAATCGGGAGTTGAAAGATATTCGGTAGTTGCTGATTCATGTTCTTTTGTTACAGTTTTTGAAATTTCAAAATCATCTTGCAAAGTAATAAAATGTCATGATTCATTATGTCAAATATCTGAAGGAAGTACCCGTCAAATTAATAATCTACACAATGGTTGCTTATGTCCACATCTTAAAGTCTTTAGAGAATATTTTTATCTTGTTGAAAACACAGTAGAATCATTTTGTAATGACAATGATAAAGTGATCTCTTTTGATTCTGTGTTAGAGGATAATCTACCAAGGGAAAAGGTTTTTAGTTGTTTAAATTTTTTATTTATTTTTGGCTTTAGCGTAAATTTGTTGTGTAAATTCTTGTTTTTAATAGTGGGAAGATGTTTTTGATGTAGCATCTGGTTTTTTGACATTTGAAATTAATGCCCCAAGTAAAAAAACTGTTTCCAATGACCAATTTAATGAAAAATTTAGCAATGACATTGTAAAAAGACAGTCTGCTACCAATGGATATTGTTTTATGCCTTCTGTTGATCTAGACAACTGTGACTGTGGTGTAAGAACATTTTTTTTTAAGTTAAAAATAGTTGATTCAATTTAATGAAATGTTTTTACAAGTAAAAAAATTTACCAAATAATAATTGTGGTATATTCAAATAGTCTGGTAGTTACTAACATCCAACAACCAGGGTTCACTCGGTTGCAATGTGCTATGGGAAATCAAAGCACATTTACTATTTGACTTAAGTCAAGTACATATATATATATATATATATATATATATATATGTATATATATATATATACATATATATATATATATATATATATATATATATATATATATATATATATATATATATATATATATATATATATATATATATATATATATATATATAAATATTTATATATATATATATATATATATATATATATATATATATATATATATATATATATATATATATATATATATATATATATATATATATATATATATATATATATATATATATATATATATATATATATATATATATATATATAGTTAGTTACAGTTAGTTATCTAAAGTGATTAGAAATAAAAATCAAAATACATAAAAGTATTTAGGTTTATGTATGTATGCTTGTGTTTATATATATTTGTGTGTACACATATTTGTGTTACTCATCCAACGCATTCAATAACACTAACATACACTACGATATAAATGACAATTTGACCAACATGTGGAACTACTTCAAATTCAACAATATAAGTACCTTGTCATTTCACCAAAAAAAATGATGTAAGTACATATCAAGAATAAAGACAACAATGAATGGTTTTATAGAGAGTTAAAAAGTCTAAAAAGATTGCACAACGATTTTTTTTTTTTTTAAAGATATGAACTGTTAGATCAAGAGCTTTTTCTGGTAATTTTTAAAGTTATATTTATTAATTTGTTAATATGGTAACAATATATCATAACTTTATTTTAAATTTAGCTAAACTTAGTTTATTTTAAATTTAGTTAAACTAAAGATTTGTACTATCTTTTTGTAAAATAGAGAAAGAGAGCTTTTAAAAAATAGATTTTTATTTATTTTGGTTATTTTACATACTTTTTTTAATATACATAAAAGTTTACGATTTATGATTAGACAGAAAAGAATACTTTGACTCAAATTAATAAAGTAACTTGTATTAGAATAAGAATTTAAATTCTTTATTTTAATTAACACGATTTTTTTTTTCTTTTAATACAAACTTTATTTATAAAACTATTGTTATTTTTTTAATTTCTTAAATAATCAAACTTAAATATTTAATTATTTGCAAAATATACTAATGCCAGAATGGGCATCCATTTGTATTGCTTCAGTATTTGAATTATTCATTCTACTGCAAAAATTGCTTCAATTAAGGTCAGGTCAGGTTTTCCTGCTACTGGTAACATGTAACCCAGTACAACCTGCTCCATGTCCTGCTGCCTTGTAGGATACGCTTTTTTAGGCAAAGGCTAGGAGAAGTTAACTCCGAATTAAAACACCCCCTGCCTTGGGGCTCTTGGTTGAGTAAAGGCTAGAGATGGTGTCTCGATAAAAATACTCATCTTGGGCAGATATTACATGCATCCAGCTGCTGTCTTGTAGAAGGCCTCCTAGGCAAAGACTTAAGGGGTAAACAGATTCTATCTGTTGACCAGCCTCGCACCCCTTCCTCATCTATTAGGCTGGCGCAGATGTATTTTTAATACATTGTTTCCAGTTTAGGATGTTGAACGCTGATCTTCTTGACTCAATGCGTGGGTATTGCTTGTGTCTCTATTTTTATGACTGGGCAACTCATTCTATTATCTCCTAATGAGGGTACAGCTCTAAAACTCAGTTTTATGGTTCTGAGGCCGGCTGGTAGTCAGGTTTCCCGAACTCTGTGGTAGCTCTCAAAGAGGCTGATTCCATCAACAGCTGTAAAATATCAGAGTACTAACAGTGCCATGTTGCGCATGGATGGTGTCCCTGTTTGTACTTTTGGTGTGCATTGCAGAGGCCACATTTGGAGCCCTTTGTTACGGCTTAGGGTTTATTAATAGTAATGAGGCTATTGTTTAGTTGTTAAATAGTGTACTGAGTACTATCTATACTTGAGTCAAGTTCTTTATAAATTTAAAATGACTAAAGTACCTAAAACTAAAAAACACAAAAAACCATCGCCATCACCAAGTTCTCTAAACCTATCATTTACTAATATTCGTGGTCTTCAAAGTAACTTTTCTTCTGTTGAGTCTTATCTCTTGCAAAGTTCACCAGACCTACTTGCTCTTTGTAAGACTAATTTGAGTTCGGCTGTCCCATCTTGTGATCTTAGTGTTGATGGTTATCTTCCTTTAATTCGTAAAGACTCCAATAATCACATGCTTGGCCTGGGCATCTACATTCGTAAGAACTCACCCATTTGTCGTGAAACTAGGTTTGAATCTACAGACTATTCATTTATGTGCTTTCGTTTAGCACAACTTCACTCTATCGCCTTTCTCTTTGTTCTATATCGCTCTCCTTCATCCCAAGATTGCACTATTCTTGATGTTATTTCTGATCAAATTGACCAAGCCCTCTCTCTTTATCCATCGGCCAATATCGTCGTTGTTGGTGACTTTAATGCCCATCACACCGATTGGCTTGGCTCTAGTGTCAGTGACTCTGCTGGCGTTAAGGCCCTCAACTTTTGCCTTTCTCAATCTCTAACTCAAATAGTCAACTTTCCAACTCGTTTTCCAGACAACCCTAATCATTTACCTTCTCTACTCGACTTATGTCTTGTTTTGGATCCTAGTCAGTGCTAAATTTCTCCACATTCACCCTTAGGTACTTCTGATCACGGTTTGATCTCTCTAAAACTATTATCAAATTCTTCTACTTCATCAGAATCCCCCTATCATCGTACCACATACAACTACCTTAAAGCTGACTGGGACTCTTTCCGTGATTTTCTTCGTGATGGCCCTTGGGTAGAAATCTTTCGTCATCCTGCTGACAAATGTGCTTCTTACATAACTTCGTGGATTCAGGCTGGCATGGAATCTTTTATTCCCTCTCGACGATTCCAGGTCAAGCCTCACTCTTCTCCTTGGTTTTCCTCACATTGCGCTGCAGCAATTTCTAATCGAAACCGTTACTTCCATATCTATCAGCAAAACAATTCTCCAGAAAACAGACATCTGTTCACTATCGCCAGAAACCATTGTAAAAAGGTTTTGTCTGACGCCAAAGCTCGCTATTCCCAGCTCATTAAATCTCGTATCTCATCACAAAAATTAGGCTCTCGAGACTTCTGGAGAATCTTTAACAGTATCAATAATAAGGGCAAATCTGTTATTCCTTCTCTCTTGTATGGTTCAGACTTTGTCACCTCACCTAAAGACAAAGCTGAATTGTTTGCTAAGAACTTTTCATCAATATCATCTCTTGATTCCACTAGTTGCGTTTTACCTGACATAGCCGTCAAACAGGTTGATCCCTTGCTTGACATTCGCATCACTTCAGCTTCTGTATCTAAAGTAATTTCCTGCTTAGACTCTTCAACAGCTTGTGGTCCTGACAACATTCCTGTTGTAGTCTTGCAGAGGTGTTCTCCGGAGCTTTCATCCATACTTTCTAAACTATTTAACAAGTGCTTATCAGAGTCTTGTTTTCCATCATGCTGGAAAGCAGCATCTGTTATCCCTATTTTCAAAAATTCCGGAGAGCGATCTGATTCATCTAACTACCGTCCCATTAGTCTTCTTCCTGTCATAAGCAAGGTTTTTGAATCTTTAATCAACAAACACTTAATCTCTCATCTTGAATCAAATAACTTACTTTCTGATCATCAATATGGATTTCGGTCTTCTCGTTCTACAGCTGATGTACTAACAGTAATAACCGATAGGTTTTACCGTGCATTAGATAGAGGTGGAGAGGTTAAGGTTATCGCACTTGACATTTCTAAAGCTTTTGATAAAGTTTGGCATGCTGGTCTTCTCCATAAGCTTTCTTCTTATGGTGTAGCTGGTAACGTCTTTAAGATTATTGAGTCCTTTCTTTCCAATCGTAGTATAAAAGTTGTCCTCGATGGACAACACTCTTCTTCACATCCTGTAACTTCAGGGGTTCCTCAAGGTTCAATCCTTGGCCCTATACTCTTTTTAATTTACATTAACGATCTTCCAGATATTCTCACATCTAAGGTGGCATTATTCGCTGACGACACTACCATTTACTCTTGTCATGATAAGAAGCCTACACTCTCTGATTGCTTGGAGGGGGTATCTGAGCTTGAAAAGGATCTCACTTCTGCTACAGCATGGGGCTCACAGTGGCTGGTGAACTTTAATTCAGATAAAACTCAATTTTATTCGGCTAATCGTTATCGTAATAATTTAGATCTTCCTATATTTATGAATGGTAATGTACTAGATGAGTCATCTACCATTCATCTTCTAGGATTAACTCTTACTTCTGATCTTTCTTTTAAACCGTATATCAAATCCATTGCAAAATTAGCATCTTCTAAGGTTGCATCTCTTTATCGAGCTCGACACTTTCTTACTCCAGATTCTATTCTCTATCTCTATAAATCTCAAATCCGTCCCTGTATGGAATACTGTTGCCACATCTGGGGCGGATCTTCTAATGATGCTCTTTCTCTTTTAGACAAGGTGCAAAAACGAATTGTAAACATAGTTGGACCTGCTCTGGCAGCCAATCTCCAACCTTTGTCACATCGTCGTAATGTTGCTTCTCTTTCTCTTTTCTACAAATACTATAATGGGCACTGCTCTAAAGAGCTAGCGTCCCTTGTGCCATCTACTAAAATTCATTCTCGTGTTACTCGCCATTCAATTAAGTCTCATCCTTTTTCTGTGACTGTTCCTAAGTGCTTCAAAAACTCTTATTCTTCTAGTTTTTTTCCTCGAACATCAGTTCTTTGGAATTCGCTTCCTTCATCTTGCTTTCCAGATTCATATAATTTGCAATCTTTTAAGTCATCAGTCAATCGTTATCTTGCTCTACAGATTTAGTCTTCTTTCTTCCAGTAACTTCCAACTCTTATAGTGGTTGCTTGCAGCCTTGTTGGAAGTGAAGATGTTAAAAAAAAAAAAAAAAAAAAAAAAAAAATTTTTCCATGATTAATGATGTTTTAATGCTTGACAATGATTTAAAATTTTTTTTATTACAGGCTGGGTGGGTATCTGAATCTGTTTTATCTGGTTATACAGAATTTTACCATAAAATCAATATGTACACAGATCGTTAAGTAATTGAGTGTGATGTTTTTTTGAGAAAATGTTTAACCAATACTTGCATTAGTTATTGGGATGGCTGTAAAGACTCTGTTTTTTGCTTATCTAAATCCACTTGTGCTGGTTATGAACTAGGTAAAACCGAAAAAAGTTGTTCTGTTCATTTGCTCAAAAACTGAGTTAATTTTTTAATTTTGAATTTCTTGCAGGTTGGGAATTTGTTGATTTTGTTTTGTCTAAAGGAACATTCAGCGGTTTTGTCAATTTGTATTCAAACAAGTACAAACGTAGAAGTATCTCTTATTTGCCATTTATGTCTACACAAACATTTATTGATTGGTTTTTTGCTTGGGCCTCCCACATGCACATTGATTTTAGAGAAAAATGTCATATGTGTCCAGAAAATCAACAAACACCAGTTTTAGTTTGCAATGCGACAAAAATAGGAATTAGCTTTAAAAATTCTTTTGTAAAACCTATAGAGTCAGCTGAACTTTATGAGATTGTTCCAACACCATTACGGCGACTAGATAGATCATTTATTTTTAATTCAGAAAAATTAGATTCTAAAAAGTTTTCCGAGGCTAGAGCTCATTTAAGAAAGATTTGTCTATATATTCTATCTGATGAAAACTCTAATTATTTAAACTTTGATGCTGATACATTGAAGTTGAATTCGGTTCTTGTGAGTTATATTCCAGCTGAATGTGTACCATCATTTCAGCTAATGATTTCTGAATCACCTGTCCCAAATGTTTTGCGATGCTCCTATGCCAAAGTTTTTAAAAAACTAGCTGCTGATAGCTCCCTTGATTCATTAGTCCCATTACGGTTCACTAATGAAGTTGCTTGCATATGTGAACAATTTTTATCTAATCTAGGTGATTGTGAACTTGTTGTTAAGTTTTGTTATTTATTGCGTTGCTTCTCTCCTGAGCTAGCTAGATTAGTTGAAATATCCTCTAACTACAACAATACACCTTCTGGAGATATTTTGCTACTAATAAAATACTGCTGTAACTTTGTGAAAAAAATTCATATTAGTGATGTTGAACCAAATAACGCAGAAGTCATTGAAGGCACTTATAATCCACCGCAATATGGTAGAGCATATTATTTTGAAAAGCATGGGTGCCAAATAAGAAAAATGCGAGTGTTTTCTGCAGATAAAAGTTCCAGTAACAACATGTTTGATGATGTTCCATCAGAAATCTGCAATAAATTGTTTCCTCAAGTATCTAAAAAAGGTGTTTCTTTTCTTTTTTTTTGGTTTTGCCCTATACATGGCCATTGTTACGGATTCCATATTATCCCAGGGTCTGAGGGAAGAAAAGATCCACATGCCTCGTTGTATACACATCTTGAAGTTGCTCCAGAAAATATTGTGTATGACTTTGCTTGCAGCCTGTCAGAGTTTTGTCACAACCGTGAATCTGGTTATTTTAAAATACCTCCTTTTTTCATGATGTATTTCATGGCTACACACATAAATGTGCTGATGTTTTTCGGTGTAATCGTTTGGGGAATTTTTATCCAATCAATTCATCTATCTGCGAACAATTTAATAGCTTTTTGCAGAATATAAAATATTTTGCTAAATTAATAACGCAAACACATTTTTGTTTTTATCTACAATTTTTTACTCATATTTGAAATCAGCGGAAAAAAAATTTATTTAAAAAAAGAATTATTGTATCAGAATGCACTAGAGAATAGCTATTTTAGAACATAATTTTGAAAATCTATCTTTTATATCGTGAAAATCTAACTATTTTTCACATCATAAGAAAATATATTATATATTTTATTAAAAAACATTGTTAAAATCAAATCAAATTTTTGCATGTAATAGTTAAATAATTTAACAGTTTACGTTATAGTATAGAATATATAGAATAATAATTGTATGCTGACTGATTGTCTGTTTCAGTTCATTTCATTAATGGAATACTGAATTAGTCATTCAGATAGCTCTGTACCAACATGCTACTTGCAAATGCCATATTTCACACAGTACAATAACAGTCGAAGTCAGTCAAATTAGAAGGTATGATAAATGTTCTTTACTAATTTATTAATAATGTTATTTTAAGAACTTATTTTCCACACGCAGCAGCCTTGTTTGTCAAGGTATCGTATTTTAAAGTTTAAAAGTTGAGAAAGAGTTGTAATCACAATTTAAAAAAAAAATTTCTATTATTCACCCCAGAGGTGAGTAATAGAAAAAAGAAAAGAATATTGATCTTTATATTAAATGAAACAATTTATTTTAGATCTGTACACATTATATATGGCATATGCTAATAGCATATAAAGCTGTGGTTGCTTATTTCGATATATCGTATATTAATGGAATAAAGTGAGGCAGACAATCAGTCAGCAAAAATTTACTTTTCTTATGGTATAAGATGGTAATTTTACTATGAATTATTTATTTAATCATTTCTTGCATTACAATGTCGCAAGTTTCATATTTTGTCTGTTACCCCTCCTTTTAGAGTAACATTTTACTTGTAATTTTCTTGCATTTATTTTATTAAAATATTGTGATAAACGTTTTTAGTAGACATTTTTAATGGATAATGATTTTTTTTTAAATCTTTTTGAAGTTCAATTATACAAGCAACTTATAGAACACTTCTAGTAGAATGAAGTTGCATACAGTTTAAGTTTTATAATTGTTTTTTTATTCGTTTTAAAATAATGACAAGGAAAGATTTTATAATAATGACAATAAAAGGTTTTATTTCAGTCAATTTCTTTTGATATTTAAAAAAATGTTGTATAAACAAATGACGTAAATTAAATTGTTTGTCAATAACTTGAGTTGCTAGTTATGATTTTTATGTTTAAATTCATTGTTATTTAATCAAACATCATATATTGTTAATTTTATAAAGTCAAGTTTTTGTCAACGTCCTTTACTTTAATTGTGCTAAGAAAATTATAATAAAATTTGATTATTGTTTATTCGTTTTCTATATATTCTATTTTTGACTGACTTTTTGATTCTACCCTAATTAAAAATAGCTCTAAAAAATATCTAAAAAGGTTCTTAATAAAATAAATAGTAACAAATAATCTTAAATATAACAAATATTGAGATTTTAGAAGAATTTCGTGCATATTATTTGTTTTAACTTGAGAAATGATTTATGAAAAGAATAAACCGTAAATGTAAGTGATTATTGTAGAATATAGGTACTTTTGATCTTTTTGTTTTGTTTATTGTGAAAGTTTGCGTTACGTAATTTATGGACGATCCCTAAGTGAAAAAATGAACGTATGGTTAACGTAATTTTAGTAAACCCGTAAGTTGCAAAAGTTTAGTGAATCCATACATTAGAGTTTTTTCTTTTTTTTTATTTACATATGTTTTTTGTCGTTTATTGCTGGAAGAAAAGAAGAAAGAGATTTTGTGTAGGGTGTAATTAAAATAGAAATTAAATGAATTTTTATTAAAAGTAATTTCATAACTTTACCAAAGCACCGGGCCGTACTAAGGATCGCCCCAACTAAGAAACAGTCGAAAAGTGTCAGCAGTTTGCGCCCTTCGTCGGTAAAGTCAAGAAAGAGAGGGCTTTATTTTGGCCGTTATTTAGTAAAAAGAAAACATTTTTCATCCCCTTTTTCATACAACACCTCTTTACCACGGCTCTGCCATAAAAAATCATTCCTTTTTCTTCTTGCCGAAATATTATTTGGTGCGTCGTCTGATCATTAAATACCATAGTACCAATGACCTTATCGGTACTATGGTATTTAACGAGTTACACTTAGTTTCTAGCTATATATATATATATATATATATATATATATATATATATATATATAATATATATATATATATAAACTAGTAAAAACACTCATCTATATTTCATCCAAAGTCTGTTTTCCTTTTATCATATTCATCAGCTTTTTAATGAATCTGGTTAAATTTTTAAGTGTTTTTACTAACTTATTATTGGTCTGTTTTTTTTACTAATTTATTATCGGAGGTAGACTGCTAAAAAGGTTTTAAAAAAAATGATTTTTCAAAAGTTGCATTATTTTAAACAGCCACTTGCAGAGTCTAAAAGGATTAAAAAAATTTAGAACTGGTAAAAGAGATTTATTTTAGCAGGGTAATTTTGTTTTCCATAGCAACGCTCATAGCAACGGCCAGTTAAGAAATAAAAAAGAACTTAAAATACAAAGAAAAAAACTTAAAGCAACTAGTAAAGGGTTCGATGATAAATACAATGACGAAGAGAGACATAAAAACGGTTAAAATCCCTGAATACGGTCTGTGTTTAGGGATTTTAACCTGTTTTTATATGTTTGGATACTCATTATTTTAAATTTTATATATAAAGTAAAGACGTTTTCAACTAATTTTATTTTAGGACGTTTATCTACATGAAAGGAATAAAACTGAAAAAAATTAAAACTTAATACATTATGCTTTTTGAGATATCTTTGCGGATATTTTAACATATTTTAGGTCTATAACCACCTTTTTTTGCGCAAAAATTTATTTTATGCGCAAAATTTATTTGCGAAAAAAATTAATTTTTTTTTCAAATGTATTTATTATGTTAGAAGTAAAAAAATCAATTGAAATATTGTCAGAAACAATAATAGTTTTTTTAGCAGTTTACCACCTTACACACACATATATTTATATAATAAATACACTGCGCAACATAATGATACGGCACCCCAAAAATATTTATAAAACTCTACTATACATTTATATTTAAAAACTAATTTTATAGTAAACCTTATAGTAAATGAGAGCAAAAGGTTTAGAAGACTAAACAATATTTTAAAAAATTTATTTTATGCGCGGCAGCATTTCATTAAAAAAAACTGCTTTTTTAGTGAAACAAAATTATGATTTTAAAAGGTAAATAATCATACATCTTTTTTATGTAAGAAATATCAATTGCATCCCATGCAGATGCGATAGATAATTTCAAGTCAGCTAGTGAACTATACTGTTTACCACCTTTAAACACAATATTTGACAACTGTGTTTTTTATTTGTAATACAGCTATTGCTGCAACTATACATGAAGTTTCAAACAATGAAGACTGTAAATGTGATATACTTAATTTATCACATTTACATGACTGTAAATGTGATATATTAAGTATATCACATTTACAGTCTTTATTGTCAACAAATTCTATTACCCCTACAAAAACAATAATGAATTGATAACGTATGA